TATAAAATATTGTTTTATTTTAACATATTTATACATTTATCCTTACTGTATTATTTTTATTCTTCGTCCCTCTTTTTGTTATGATTTAAAAAAAAAAAAAGTTTCAAATGGAATTAAGGAAAAAAATGAAAAACTATTCTATTATTTACCAAGTAAGTTAATGTATTTGGTGTGGAAAATAAAGTTCGAAATTATTTGATCAAGTTTGTACCAACTTGTCCGGTACTCAATCCAGCCTCTTTGGTCCGTTGTGGGTCGAATGTTCGTACCTCACACTTGCGTGCGTTGTGTCGTGAACGTGAGTAACTGTACTCTTGTGCGTATACTAGAGAGCATACGGACGATTGACACACGAGTCTCGTGTGCACGTCTAAAAAGAGACCATGTTTTGGTATTCACTCACGGGACGACTACGTGAATTTATAATAAAGTAAAAAACATACCTTTTAAATAAAAAGGATACAAAAGGCACTAAAAGTACATGCTTCTCGAAAAAAACGATTGTATCTATCAAATTATAAAATTCAAGTAATGCTATGTGTTTGTACTAAATTAAAAAGTAGGACCCAAGTGATACTATTTTTATTAACTCTAATGATATGTATTATTTGTATTATATAAAAAAAAGATTTGATATCAACAACTGTGGCGTCAAGATAAATTCTTTTTAATTAAAAAGTACAACGAATATGTAGTTGCCATTACAATTGTTTGTCTGAGTTCCTTTATAAATGATTCTTCACTACATCTGTGAAATCAAAATTCTCGATATTACAAATCTGCAAGATTTGACTTCTTTTTTCTTCTTGTTTTTCTTCTCATAGCTTTTCTGGTTTAAAAAAAAACGACGATAAAAAAACTTGTTCGTAGAAAAGAGGAAAATTGCGCCGATTCAATCGCGTGGGCCGCTTGTAACGACTTCTCTCCTCGACCTTTAATTTATCTAATTAAAACTCAACTCGTATAAAACCCACTAACAGCTTTCCGACGTGCACAAGATAACGAAAAGTTGTTTATTGATGGAAATCGATCTGAAAAATCGAACGAGAATGTGGCACAATTGATTTAAAAATATCTACAGAGAGTTAAAGTAATCTATAAAAGTATAATTATTGCAAAAAGGTTAAATCTCACCAATTACTTTGATTTTTACATATAATTAAAGTCAGTATAATACTACAGTCAAAATAATGAATAAATCCTGAATTACGCACACTTTGAATTATGTAGAGGACTCTTCTGTACTTATAGTGTATAACATTTTAAAGTATTGAATTTTTTTTCCCGATAACATTCAGCTTTTCGTAGTTACAGTGCGTTATTACTTTTATTGACATTTTCTACGTTCGCTACTTCTCTTGTATTCAGTATAACGCGTTCATCTATATTTTAATAAAATAATAAAATGAAATAATATCTTATTTCTTTGACATATATCTAACATTAGAAACCACCTCACTTTTCTCCCTGCCTAGGGGCGCACGACTTTCCACACGAAGCGAACACTACCCCATCTGCCCTTCTGCCTAGGGGTGGATCTCGTTTCGCATAGAAAATCGTGCACTCCTAGATAAAAGGGGGTTTAGGGTGGACCTCGTTTCGCGTCGGAGAGTCGTGCGCTTATAGGCAAAGGGAAATAAGGTTGTTTTTAATATTATAATTGTAGAAATAAGACATTATTTCGTTTTATTATATTTATAATACAAGTGAATAATGTTTTTGTACCATACGGAATACAAGAGAAGTAGTGAACATAAACAAAACATGTCACAGAGATATAAATAACAAACAATACGAAAAGCTGAACTTAATCAGAAAAAAATTAAATACTTTGAATACTTTAAAGTGTATTTAGAATTATATCGATTTTAATTATATGTAAAAATTTAAGTGATTGAGATTTAATCTTTTCGCATTAATTATCTAATATGAATTTCTTTGCGATATAAGTTTCGTATTTGTATTACTGAAAACATTGTATAAATTTTTTACATTCACTATTAATTCTTCTTTTTATTGACTCGCTTAAAAAAAATTGAAAACAGGAGAGTAGTGCGATTAATTTTAAATGGAGTTGAAATAATTTCTAAGAATACAAATTTTTTTATGATATCGTATTTTTGTTATCAATTATAATTTTACATTAATTATAATATTAAGTTCTTCATGGCGCGTTTAAGGAACGCAATTTTGAAAAATCATACGAAAACCAAAATGAAAACGTAGCGCAATTAATTTTAAATCTGGAGTGTCGAAATAATCTCTAAGAATATAAATTTCTTCGCGATGTAAGTTTTTTTACTCTTGTTATCGAAATATTTTATAATTCTGTTATACATTATTTATAAATCTTTCTATATATATTAATTTGTTTAAATAACGTAAATATCCGTTTTCTTTTCTCCTTGAACTATTTCCCGGTAGACTTTCAAAACTACGTGTCACGCATGACTTTCTATTAAATAATATATTAAATGATCGACAATGTGTACTTTCCATCGAGATAATACGAGATAAAAGTCGATCGTTAATACAAATAATAGTCATCCAATAATATAGCACAATTTTTTCTTGTCATACGATTATAAGATATTCTTCTGAATGCGGCGCTCTCTTTGACAAATTGTCCGGCACATTTTCCGAGAGCTGAGCCATCTGTCATGCGCGAGAAAAACGCGTAGAAAGTTGAAACACGGAGGGACTCGCGCGTCCCGATGGCGATACTTAGAAGTAATCGAATCGTCGACGGAGTCGTAGGCTGTTGACGGTCAAATAAATAGGTGGTTCCGTGATTTTTTTTTTCATAGACCAACACGCCACGATAGAGAAAGAGTCCCGAGCGGGTTCCGACCTAGTGTTCTCAACTTGGAGAATGTGTGTGACCGTCGTCGCTGCGTCCGTCGTGCCGTTTTGAAGTGCGCGGAACGCGCACGCGCGTTTATAGACCCACATAATCAAGAAACCAGCAACCGCATTCCTCATACATGTACTAATGAACCGTCTCACTATGGTTTCCCCCTCGTGCACACAAGGTCTTTCAATTTTCTCGCTCACTGTCCATCCGGAGTGACCCCGCGTGATGTATTATGTGGTCACAGAGCATGAAGGAAGAGATGTAACTAGGAAGAGAAAGGAAACGAGAGATGCAACCGATGTGAACTTGGCGCATAATTTTAACAAGAATAAAAATAGATATATATAGCACATTTGTATACTCCGTTTGTATCACTTGTTATTTTCTTTGTACCTCAAACAAAGGTTGCACGAAAATTGAAAAACGCTGTATCTCCAAACCCTTTGAGGTACAAATGAAAATGAAATAGATACAAATGGTTCTTTTTCGAACGCCGTTAATTGCTTTTCGATTTCTCTTAAAATAACCGACTTATTTTCTTGACAAATTTCCAAAAATTTGAAAAGCGCTGTATCTTTGAACCTTTTGAGATACAAACGGAAATGAAAGAGATACAAACGATTCTCTTTTGAATGGCATGAACGAAGTTACAAAATTTTATAGCTGCGCGCTGATCTTTTTTTTATTTTTTAATTAATTTTGTATTTGAGTTGAATTTTGTTTTGTTTAGTAAATTTACTTTTTGAGGTATACTATATAGGTACGTAATAACAAGCGGTACAAAACGAAGTACAAACGCGCTACGGTATCCATTTTTATTTTTATTAAAGTTGGACGCCAGGTTCACATCGGTAGAAATGCATACAACTAGGAGATGTTAGCATACATAGGGCATAAATGCATACAACTAGGAGATTATCAGTGAGTCTCTCGCAATATATCACGATGAAGATGTTAAAAAATGTATTAAAATACTGAAGCTACTGCGAGATGAGTCTCTTTTCAAGAATATAGGTGTAAATGATATTTAGAAAATAATAATGCCCGAAAAATGATTCGCTGGATATCGTTTCCGTCGAAAAAACATAGTTCTAATGATAAAGAGGAAGAACGAAGATGTAAAATCACATGAAAAACATATACACGTGATGAAATACCGCGAGAATATGAGGAAAGTAATGTACGAATCTCTCTCGCATTCTTACCACAGTGATCCATTGCCCCAAGCAATGGCCCAAATGCCTGACACACATAACGCGCGCGTAGCTACGTTACCTAAATACTTGTACAAAATCCTAGTTTCCGGCCGAAAGATTTCGACGTTCGCGAACGACGCGTGTTGCATTCTTTATGACTTCTGTAACTGTTTGAATCATGACACAACGCATTCTAAATTCGACGATTGATCGAAGAAAATTGTAATGCCCAAGATGCTCGAAGACCTGCAAAAAAAACACTGTTTAACAAAAAGTGATCTTTTTTACGAGCATAAAAACGAAATGGTTTTTCTGGTCAGAATTGCATAAAAAGATTATTATATTTCCATATATCTTAGTACATTATCCTTAATAGTTTATACATATAAATCGCCATCTTAGATTTTATATTATATTTTATATTAATTATGAATATCATTGTAACCACTGTCAACAAATTCCTTTTAAGAAGTAAAAATTCTAATAACGTGCCTCTAAATTTTGAGTTTAATAAAATTTATTCAATACATAATAATGATAATAATGCGAATATACAACAAGTAAAGGCAAAGTTAAGGAACTGTCAACCCCGTTATAACCAGCGCTGTAAATCTAGCGCAAACTTTCTGCCGCTGCAGGACAGCCTTCAGAGAGTAAAATTCCAAAGTTTGTATCGAGGATAAGATTCTTATCAAAGTTTGACGATCATTATAGCATCAACGAAAACTTGGTAAATCGAGCAGCTTCAAATTCGAGATGTAGGCTCTAAAGCTTTAAAAAAATGTGGCACAGCTTTCACGATATTCTTCGTGGAAGAGATCGGATATTCTTGTTTAATACCTAAGCTTATTATTAAAGAATAACTTTATATTCTGACAGACGTTTTTCCAAAAACTTGAACCGTCTCGATTTAGATGATAAATGAATAAATCGTGCTTTATCAATTGCAGCCGTAGAATGTATCGAGTCCGAGACGGGATGCAGGAGATGCAGGGACGGCACGTGTGCCAGATGCGCTGTGCTGTTACATCAGGGTACCTGTGTGCACACCTGCCCATCGGGCTTCATCGCCGACTGGTCCACCCGGGACGAATACATGGGCCGCGTCTGTCGAGAGACCGGCTACATGTTCGGCCTCACCGGTAGCCAGGTCGCGATTTTGGTAGGGGTAGTCTCCGGTACAACTATCTGTATCTTCATCATCCTCTGCGGCGCGATAGTCGTACATCGACGTAAAAAGAAGGCGGTGAAGCTGGCCCAGCAGTTCGAAGACAGGTATTTTTTTAACTTCCTTTTCACTCTGTCATTTATTTATCGCGCAGCGATTTTCATTCATCGTTCTTGTGCATTTCAGTGCGGAGAGGCGAGAATTTCTGAAACACCTGGCGACGCTCCGTGGAGAAGCCAATACTTTCCTCGCTATGCTCAACGACACTAGAAGACAGGTCAGAGAGTTATACTATTCGGGAAGTAACGGAGACGGTGCCGTCGGAATCCAAGCGTACAGGTACAAGTATAATAGAAAAATTAGGCCATCGAATACTTTTCTATTATTAATCTATTGAGAGTCGTTGCAGGAAAAATTAATTTGTCAAACATTAAATAAAATATTGTAGAAAAGTGTACTATTGAAAATTGGACACTTCCAATACAAATTATACTAATACATTTCTGTTATAAATATTTTTTGAGAGAGAGAGAGTGTGTATCTCTTTAATAAAAATCTATTGAAAATTTAATGAACTCTTATTAATCTTTATTAATACTATTACAACAGACCAGTACTACGTGACCTGGCGAGGATACTGGTTCTCGTGAATAGGAGAGACGATGAAATACCACTTCCGCCCGACGATTGGCAACGACTATTCTCATGGGCAGAGCGGCTGTTGAGAAGATATAAAAGGCACAGTTCTCCAGAAGTAAGATTGTTATAACGAATATTTCTATTTGAAATGAAAACGACGAACAAGCGCTACCAATATTATCTCACACTTTTAATTCTTTTTCACGCTAGTCCCTAAAGCACTTTGGTGAGTCACATACCCAACTGTATGCAAAGCATATAACATTAGACGAGAATTCCCCACGTAAAAGCTCCTTTCTCTTTCTGAACGGCAGACTGTCCTTTTGGATAAAACATGTATGAAACAACAATGTCGAACTGTATAACATTTATTATCCTTTTATAACTTAAAGGTGGCTCAACTCGTGACATTCCTGCAACAGCCGACGACCAACCCCGTCCAAATGACCTCGTTATCGGCACAACCGGTCACGACGTCGCAACCACCACTTCAACCCGTGTACGAACCGAGAAGCACCCCCACTAATCTCACCACATTCCAAGCGAACGTGCCTCTCGCGACGTTTCAAGCGAGCGATAAATCGAGTATCAGTCCAGCGAGTTCGAGCCTCGGCTACACGAAGGACAGCAGTCCCCTCGGTTCAAGTTTGGGTCAAAACAGTGCTTTCGGCATTTACAGCAGCGAAAAATTCAGCCCGAATGGTTCAACAATCGGTCAAACGACGCCTCTCGTCTACGGAAATAATCTGAAGCGAACAGGATCGAGGACGACGAGTGACTGTCAAGAACTGCAAACCATTTCTGCTTTTAATCGCAGTTACAATGGCACACTGCCCTTGGAGACCAACATCCGTGCGTTGCACGACGAGTGCGGGGTCAACGATGGTCTAGACCGCGACTTGAATCCCCAGTGGAAGTTTCAGAGTAGCCCCGTAGAGGCAGCCAATTACACCATTCTGTCGGAATGGTCGCCAGCTCATGATTATCTCATCGACGATTTCACAATTCTCGGTTTTCGGCCGCAAGACGAAATCACTACAGAATTGTAGTATCGACTGATAGTGAAATACATAACAAAATCCAAAAGACTTGTAAAGAAGAGTTACAAATGCTTGCGTATTTTAAATATCGTCATTTAAACAATATTTCGGAAATCCTCAATAATCTTCTTTGACAATCTTATAACGATACTTTGTATTGCATTAACGAGATTTATCAATTATGTTATTCATGCAAAAGGATCGTATGAAATAAATTCTATCTGCGCACATTTAGCAATCTATGTCTGTTACTCGATAATGCGATATCGATATCGAACGTATATTAGGTTTGCTTTTTATTACTGCACTCTTGGAATAAATACTGAAAATGCCATATAGCTAATTGGCGCTCTCTCTCTCTAACATCTGTTCTCATCTGTTTATTTTATTGCGATGCGCATGCGTTGATTGTCTACAGTTTTGAAATTCTTTAATATTACAAAGATGTGTATCGCGTAAAGTTATACGAAATCTACTCTGGAAGTAGTAGCAATTGTAGAGTATTAAGTTGTAGAAAATTGTGTGTGACCAATCATAATTGATCATTCTTCTAATATTTGACTGTGAATGGTTAATTTTTTACAACTTAAGACGCTATAATAGCTACTTCTATTATAGACCCCGCGTCAGGTAATTGTACACCATTATTATCTAGTCTAATGCAAGCGCACATAAACAGATTTTAAATAGACGACGACAGACATGTTGGGAACATTTTTGTTACATTATTTAGATTGAATGGCACTTCCAGTATATTCTAAAACTACATTGGATTGCACTGAAACTTTTTTCTTGTTTTTGATAAATTTAAAAGAGTAATCTTTTCCTTTAATTCAGTACACTAGTTCAATTATAAAAGGTAAAACTCATTTCCAAATTATCAATAATATTGATAATCAGGAAATGAATAAGTTATAAATATTCTTACGATCAATATGAGACACAGACAAATATCGTTAAAAATACAAAGAATTCTCATTAAATTAAAGCGTTATTAAAGAAACAATCATGTAAAAATTTGCGCTTATAAGATTTGTAAATTCGAATTAATTTGAACTTTCCATTGTTTTCTTTAGAACGTGAAATGTTGAATATTTGGCTACGTTTACACCGAGAGACCTATACGCGGCCTGACCTATGATGCGACTTAAAATAGATCCAGGCGCCGACCATTTACACTGATATATAGACCTATAAGCAACCTGACATATAGTGCGACTCAAGATAGGTCTAGGCCCCAAACATTATATCATAAGCGATCTGAAGTATTTTGCGGTCTTAGCACTATCTACGTTGTTACATTTTTAGCTGTTTTTTAAAATCGCGAATTTAAGATGACAGTTTGATGGTTAAATGTCATGATTGCTACACCGAAGTTACAGACGGCTTATTTTAAATCAGGTCATCAAAAATCGAAGTCTGACCTACAGTCAGGTCAAATCATCTCTCAAGTATTTACAGCAAGGGACCTAAATAATTTAGATCGAATTTGGGGTATAAACCGCAACCTAAATTAATTCACGGTGTAAACCTAGCCATAAATGACATTTTCATAACATCTCATTGAATTTCTATGAAACAATATTTATGTTTTAAATATTGTGTCACACTTTGATAAAATTATACTTTTAAAGAACATATTCAAGTACAGGGTGCAATAGAAAATGTACAATGATACCAAATTGTAAGCACTTTATGTATAAACATTGGTCTTATTTAATTCCTCTGTTTCGTACACATCTGATAACAATTATTTTATATAGTGTACTAGTCAATGTTTCCGTTTCTTCACATCGAAATGTTGAAGTGCATCTTTGTGACTTTCATACATCCGTATTTACATAGTTGATACTATCTTTATTCTGACAAATTTTTAATTATACGCAGGGTTGGAATGTCCTTTTTTTTTTTGAAAAGTAAATCATTATCGTTACTTTGTTCCTTTGAAAAGTAACTCATCATTGTTAACGTTACTCAAAAAGTAACGAATCGTTACAATTTCTTTATTTTTTCACTGAATTTTGATAACTTCTTTTTTTAGAATTCTATAAGAATATAAGCTCAAGGATTAAATCTAAATTTGTAAAATTATTGCCAATGAGAGCTAACACTAGTTGTTTGTGTGATTATAAGTATATAAATATAATTTTATTAAAAAATATAATAATACAAATAAACATTTCGATCTTTCGTTTAGGTCCTCATCAGTATAAGTTTAATCAAATTATCAAAATTTGAAAAATAATCTAATGGGAATACGATGTACATTTTTTTTAGAGTGGCATCCAATTGTTTGATCACTAAATTCACTGGTTCAACACGAGACTGTGGCCGGTATTCATAGTCAGTTTTTTATATTCAAGATCGTCTTAAGTTTAGTTTTGAGGTGTCATCAGACCATGGAGGAACCAATCAGACAGCTGCATTAGCATCTTAAGACATTACTTAGACGTTCTTAAAATAAGAATGGAATATGAATACCGGCCTATGACTATAATGATGTGGTTAATTGCAACATGGTCAAACACGGTAAAACATAACACTTTCTTCTTTTGCAATTCACTTTGCACGTTTCATGTACATGTGTTGCATGTGTACAAAGTAATGATAAAAGTGACGATTATATACTGTTATTATTTATTAAAACAAGTGTGTTATTATTAATGTTAGAAATAAGCAAATTGACACAATTATTACTGGAAAAAATAATTGCAACGATAACCGGCGTTACAAATAATGCATTACTCTCCAACCCTGCAAATTTGTACGTAACCATTAATGTCAATGAAGTTGAATATTATATGATTCGTAAGAATGCCCATTAGAATGTTTATTTATATATTGTGTTTTAAGAATTCATATTCCATTCAAGTTGCCATAACAATAGAAACTTGACAACAAAGTGGAAAGAAGCGAATCATACAGCTGCAATTTTATTCACATAAACGAATACACATAAACACACTACACGCACACACTTGAACGTGTCATTATATATACGTATGACCAGAAAGCGGTCACTTGTACAAATTGATGTAAATACTAATTAATATTTTAGTAATAAATGTAAGAAGGTATAAAAAGAATATATATTATATATATGTATACTTTGCCAATTTTTGAGAGTTTAAATTTTCGTCTATTTTCGCAAACCTTCAGATTTAATTAAATTAAAATTCTTAGAAATCTCGTAATCACGATTCTTATTTTGCAGTGAGGAATTTAACAAGATCTTAAATGATTCTTGAAATTTTCTCTATTTTTAAAAAATTTGAATTTGTATGATTTCAAGACTTAATATTCACATTTAAAATCCTTGCAATTATGATTTTTTAAAAATATTAATATTATTTTTCATCTATTTATTGAATAATTTGATTTGTTTAATTTTTGCGTTTAGATTTCTACAGTTTAAATTTTCGAATGTCAATTGGAATTTTAGTTAGTGCGTCTAGTGTTGTATTCTCCTAAAATTTATTAGAATTAAAATTTTTTGTTAATAATAATTAATATTGTAAATCGATAAAATTATTATCGGTGTTTGTAAGACGTGTACCGTAAGAATTAACAAAACAGAGTTGACAATTTTTGAAAATTCTTGATTTTTTCATTACTTGTCAGAATCGAGGAATAAGGTGTAGCTTCTGGTTATTTCCAAAATTATTTCAAAGATCTCATCATTTTGCTTTATCCAAATTGCCCTTATTTATTAATGGCGTAAAAAAATTAAAAGTTTCACGCTTCTGATGTCACGGTTCAATATGGCTGTGGCGATTATACTCAGAAGCATTACAATAGAATTGTATAATCTTCTAATATAATTTCATTTTTATTTGTTTCGCACAACAGAGGCGTCATAAGACGGACTTGGGTTTCGCGAATAGTACAGCAATAAAAATGTGTTTTCATAATCGTGTGATTTTCCCGCCACCGGAAGCGCGCGAGCCAAGCGCGTGACTGAGAGCTGCGCGCGCAACTTGGGCGAGACGGGAAGGGGCCAGCTGGCGCGTTTACCAGAAGGAATGCGAGCGGACCGTGCAACATTTCGTCGCAAAACAGGCCGCATAATTTCTTTTTCGGCACCGCCGAGCCCCCCCGTCGGGCGAAAGCCGCCTAACGGACCGGTCCCGCGACCGTCCACTCGGCGATGCCCCGCGCGCGTAAGTTCCTGCGGGGTGGGCGAGGGGCCGCCATGACAGTCGTCGTATTTTCTGTTAACCGCGAGCACACGTAGACCTCGTTGGGGTGACGTTCCCGTGAAATTCTCGCGCGATTTCGCATTCGCCGCGACCGAAAGCGGTCGTCCTGTGTCCCGGCTTCGTCGGACTGACCGTGGCGGATGTCGAAGAGACTGTAGGCGAGGGCGCGTGGCCATTATCGGAGATTTGTTTGTGGGTGTCAGTGGCGAGGTGAGACGTCGCGGGAGAGGCAGAGCGAAGGAACGAAGGCGACCTGTGCGCGGAGCCCCCACCACCCGGCCCGACTCCTCTTGCCGCTCTCCACCGCGGGCCGTACCTCTCCCCGCGCGTTCCCTGGGTGTCGGGACGGGCGCGCGTCTCTCCCCCGTCCGCGCGCGCGTGTGTGTGTGTGGAGACTTGTGGCAGAGGAGGCGAGGAGGAGGCGGCTCCAGAGCCGACGGAGAACGAGATGCGAGAACCGCCGACGGCACCGCGCACCACGTGAGTTGTAACTTGCCCGCCTATATCCATTAGATACCCGGGCGCCGATCCGCGTATTGTGTTGCGCCGCGGCGCGCCGCTCCGCGCCGCGCGTCTATCCGTATCCCCCTCGCCCCGAGTCCGCCGCGTAGCACGTCCATCTTGTTGGCCCCTTGTCCCCGTTGCTCTCTGTGGAGCGAAGGAGCGAACGCGCCAGATCGACGACGGCCCGACGGCGACGAACGATACCCGACGACGGGAATTCTCGTAGCCGATGGCACGTAGCGGTCGTCGGCGGCCGCCGCCGCCGCGACGCGCCCGTTCGTTTCTTCGTCGCGGCTGCTCCGGCGG